CTATCAGGAAGACCTGAGTTCAAAGTCAACCTCTGACACTTGCCAGCTGTGAGCCCCTTCTTGTAAGTTCAGGGCATTCACTGTCTACCTAGTTTATTTATAAAATGAGGATGATTTTAGTACCTTCTTCCAGGGTTATTATGAAGATAAAATGAGATAATAATTGTTAAGTGCTTTACAAACCTTAAAGTACTATGTAAATGTTAGCTATTATTATATACATACTTTTGTGTCTGATTGTTAAAATAAAAACACAATAGCAAAAGAAGTCTTAATAATAAATTTACAGGAATAAGAAAAATATATACTGGAGATCTTAAAAAACTAAATAACATGCTAGAAAGTTTCTCCTCTATAATCAATCTGAAAGATCTGGATGGGGGAAAACTCAATTTCTAAGTATTCAAAACACAGCCTAATGTGTTTAAATGTATCTACTGATATTATTCTGTGTCTGCAAGCTATGCAAAACATTGACTTTTTCCCATAAGAGATATAAAAGACAGTTATATTTAATTTTCTATATTACATACCTCTCTCAAGAGGAACTGATATAAAATATTCCTTCTCAGCTCTTTAACTTACATACAAATCAAAGACACCAAACCCTCTTATGTTAGGTTGTTACAAGTGTCCTAAGCCTAAGAACCTTTACACAAAAGAACTCCTGAGTCATTTTGCATAACAATAAGAGCTGGAAGTTGAAATACAAGAATCATCTACATATGAAAATTCCTTGGAAAAGCTCCAATCTTAAAAGGGTACTTTTCAGAAGTAGCTGCAGGGTTCTCCAAGGGAAAGGAAGGGGTCAACTATTGAATTCTACCTTTTCCTAAACAGTATTATAAAAATATGACTGCTGGAGACAATCTTGCTTGAATTTTAAACATTTTTTTGCCATTGTTATAACAACTAGACAGAAGCTGTTTATGATTACTCATGTTTTGCTTTTGTAAAGTTAAAAACACTCATAATGGAACTTTTAACAAAGATCTCTGTTCTCCAGAGGAAAACATTTTTAGAATTTATGTTTCTGCTTAAGCCCCAAGGATGGGCTTCTATCATGCCCAGCACAGTGCCTAGGTACACAATAAAGGTCTCATGAATTGATCTGAATCCCACAACCAGAAGGCACCCAATGTGGCAGGAAGGACATTGGAACTGGAGATGATAACCTGAATCTGAATGCCAGTGATGCTACTTGCTATCTTGTTTGGCATAGGGCAAATCACTTGACCTCTCCCCACTTCCTCGTTTCCTTACCTTTATGTAGGCAGAACTTAAGCTCCTTAAACAGACACCAAGGGGGACACCCTTATTAGGTAAAGCTGGTTGGCTGGTTGTTGTCCTTCATTCTCAAAGAGAACCAAAATGACATCACTATGCTAGGGTCAAGCTTTAGTGTGTCTGACTGTGGCTAATCAGACCAATAAGAGCTTGGAATGTTCTACCACAGGTTGGGCACAAATAGTTCATGTGAACATTCGGGGTGGAACACACTTGTGTACAAGACATGAGTGACAGCAAAGGCTTTTCAAAGAGATTGGGGGGATAAGATGGCTATTATTATTATCATTATTATTGACAATAATAATAATAATAATAATAATAATAATAATAATAGCATTTAGAGTTTACAAAGCAATTTACATATGTTATCTCCCAACAATCCTGTGAGGTAGATGCTATTAATTGCCCCATTTTATAGATGAGGAAACTGAAGAGAGGTTAGGAGAATTGATGGTGCTATTGATTGCCCCTGAAGACCAGGAAATTGAGTGGGGTTAAGTGAATTGCCCAGGGTCATACAATTAGTAAAGTTCTGAGGCAAGCTTTGAATGCAGCTCTTCCTGAGCAAGTCCAGCACTCTAAGCACTGTGGCACCTAGCTTCCTCAATAGGGAATGATTCACTTACCCTACCCCTTCCTTCTGATTTGAAAAGAATCTAATAGCAGGTAGCCAGTGCCTTTCTTCCAACACAATTTTTTTTTTCAAAGACTAAAGGGACAGAGATATGGGAGAAGACAAGTATAGAAATTGAGATATCCTATGCCCTGCACCTGGAGGCAGCTAGATGTCTCAGTAGATAGAGTGCTGGGCCTGGAGACAGGAAGATCTGAGTGCAAATCTAAACTCAAACACATACTAGCTGTGTGACCCTGGGCAAGTCATTTCACCCCTGTTTGCCTTAATTCACCAGAGGAGGAAATGGCAAACTACTCCAGGCTCTTTGCCAAGAAAACCGGACAGATAGCACTGGCGTGGATGGTCCAGATGGTCACAAAGAGTCGCACACGACTGACCTACTGAACAACAAATGCCCTGGTTCCCTGGTACTACCCTGATTGCTCAAGCAATACCATCCTGTAAAGAGTTACTCAGGGTGCTCTACATTTCTTGCATTACATCAAGGGAAAGTCTAAGTTCAGAAACTAAATTTGTAAGTAGAAAAAACCTTTTTTATTTAGCTCTTGCCTGGGATCAACTGAACTTCCAAATTAACTCTCATCCCTAGGTTGGGAGAGGAGAGAGGAAAAGACTGGCTTCCACTCTGGATGGGCTTCTTGCCTTGGGAGCAGTTGGATCCAGAGTTCTGATGGAACGTATGGTATATATCTATGCAGACTAATGATTCTGCTTTTATTACTGTTAATTTAATCTAATGGAATGTTTATTGTAGTATGTCCTTGACTTAAAGGTAAATCAATGAAGCACATAGGGACATAAAGGATGAAGGGAAGTTTTCCTTATAGTTTGGAAGCTGAAAGGTTTTTCCACAGGAGTCTATCCTAGATCAATGAAACAAGCATTGCCACCCACAATTAAAGGGAAATGCAGCGGCTGCCTCAGAACCAGTGAGCTTGGTAGCTGCCACTGAGCGCCCTCTGGTGTTGAATGGTGTGCATAGTTGCAGGCGATGACTATCTAACACCACCTAGTCACCACCATAAAAAGTAACTAATCACAGCATTCCCAGGCAGCTACATGCAAAATGAGGAAGTTGGCCTAGGTAATTTCTATCTTTACCTTCCAACTCTAAAAATCCTATTCTATCCCAAAGCTGGAAAAAAAATAAAAAAGAAAAAGCCTTACACTTGTTTCCAAAGTTCAATTTACTAAAGCTGTAGCATTTTCTAAAATGAATTAAAAATAAGGACCAGAAAACTAACTTTAAGTCAGAAACTCTAGAAGTAAAATATAAATATTACACATGTAAAATGACTTCTGGTAAGAGAAGGAAGGAAGGAAGGAAGGAAGGGAGGGAAGGAGGGAGAGAGAAAGAAGGAAGGAAGGGAGGAAGGAAGAAGAGAGGGATGAAGGGAGGGAGGAAAAGAGAGAGTGAGGGAGGGAGGGAAGACTTTGGGATTTACTCTAAAGTATTACTCAGGCTTGTGTATTTTTCACGTATGATTAATATAATAAAGCCCTCATTAATCAGAATCCTTAAGAAATAGAGTGTTCTATTTGATTAAAACTTCTGATTAACTCAAGGTTAACCACAAAATCCTTTTTATTTCAAACTTTATTAAAATCGGTCAGGTTACCAGGGCCCAGGGTCACCTAATCCCCTGCCCTTTTCCAGCTCTGTCCCTAAGCACTCTTCCAAATACAACACCAAGAGGGAGCTCAGAAGCCTGTGCAGTACTAGCCAGAATCTATATTAAAGCTTTTTATCATCCTAAACTTAATATTGGTACACTCTGCATTGCCCTGGCAATCCCAGAAGGGTTGTCAAACAGGTTACATACCTATATCTACCCCATACATTCCCTGTGCATTCCCCCTCCCTTCTTTTTTCACATCATTCTCCTTCCCTGGTCACCCCCAAAGTTCTAAGTCAAGGCCTCCTCTCAACTTTCCATGTCTTCACTCCCTTGAAGCTACTCCTGGACACTGGCTCATTTAAAGCACACTCCAGTTGCAACTCTCTTCTCTCACTCAAGCACTCCAACCCACATTCACTGTCATGCCCTCTTGAATACAGACTCACTGAGGCCATGAGTTCTTTCCACACTGCTACGGATTGTCTTCACAGCATGGGTTTCTCTAACCATGAAGACAGATAGACAGATGCCAATCCTGAGACTACTTCCCCCTAAATACACCCATTGAACTATAAAAATATATTTCTCCCAACAACCACCCCACTAGTAGTAGTACTAGGGGAGGGGGGAGGGTGAGAGGACCCACCTGCCTCTGAGTTCTGCAGCACTTTAAACTCTGACAGAAGCTACATAAATATTTGAGGTATATATGCTCTTAAATCCAGGTAGGTTTGCTCCTATATGTGTATATTTGTATATACACACACAATCACACAGTTGGATTCATAAAGCTCTAGTAAATATATCTTTAGAGGAAAGTTGCTGTATAAATAGCCAGGCCTCCACGTTTGGAGAGGTAGATGGAGAAAGAGAGAAAACTAATAACCTACAGAATTTGATAAAAAAAAATGTACAAGTGAGGAACTGCTATAGCAATAATTACTGGTAGTAATATAGTATATATCACTATGTATATGATATATCTATATACTATCTATACATGTACATATACATATACTGTACTATAATCATACAGAGAACCACTCAGCCTCAAAACAAATGATTTCACAATGCCACACACACCTAGTTAAAAATAGAGATTTTTAAAAAACAGAAAACCAGCACCCTTCAGGGTCAGGATCGAGACTAGAAGCTCCATAAAGACAAGGCTATGCCTTATCTAAAGGTAACATTTCCCCCAGAACAACAGCTGGCACATAGGAATGGTTTAATAAAAGTTGATTGGTTTTGACTAAATGCAAAAGAACTTCCAGAACCTCTATGTACGTCTCCCATAATTTATCGTATTTCAATCAAATATACATGGTTTGTTGTCATGTTACAGAGTAGACACTGATTTGTCCACATAAAGACTGAATCCTTGACCTTGGCTTCTTAGGGCTATGGTCCATACAACCAAACTGACTGAACATTAGCAGAAACATGGAACTTACCATTGTTTGGTGGTGTTACCACAGTTGGTGGAGTCTTTGGGTTTGTATTTTGTTTCACTTTACCAGGTTTTTCTGAATTCGAAACTTCCTCCTTCTTTCCCCTTCTCTTTGGAGGCAGAGGGGATGAGTTGTCACTGGAACCAATAGTTGACTTAGATTGACGATCATTTCCCTAAATGGAAAGAGAAATGGATTCTTCTCATTGATTAATTGCACACTAAGAACGACTTCCCACAAGAGATAATATTTACTAGGTAGAAGATGGACCAAAAAAGAAAAAAAAAGAAAAAGAAAAGGCTAGAATCTCTTCCATTACTTTTGATTTAATACCTACTTAAGAAAGAGGTCATGTTGTTTAATGGATAGATTACCAGAAGTAGCTTTGAATCTTCACTCTGACATTTACAAGCTGCAAGGCCTTGAACAAATTAACTTAACTCTCTGAGCCTCAGTTTCCTCATCTTTAAAAATGGGGATAACTAATACCTACCTCACAAAAGGTTGTGAGAAAAGAAATTTGTAAGTTTTAATGTGTCATATATAGATGTGAGCTATTACATTATCCAAATAAATGGATAGATCTCCATCCAACTCCAAATCTGTGATCCTAATATATTTATTAGATTTTAAATTGTGCAGCCACCATAACTTTCTTTTTCCACATGCAGAAGAAGAAATATGCTCCTGGCCAACATGAGGAGGAAAAGACTCAACACAATCACAAATCACAGAGAAAAGAAAAAGTCAATATAGGCACAGATCCTGAATAACATAAATCTTGCAATATTCTCAGCTAATTTGCAAAAAGTTTTGGTGAGATAAGTCATTATCCTGAAAAATGTACCATTACTAGAGAAGCATCATGATGGGATAGAAAGAAAGCTGGACTTAAGAGTCTGGAGAAACCAAGCTTCAGATTCTGCCTCTGGCAGTAATTGTGTGACAAAGTTGATCTTTTTGAGCCTCAATTTCATCATCTGCAAAATGGGGATTAACAATACCTGTAGTCCTTATCTCATAGGGTTATTGGGAGGATAAAATGAAATGCTTAATACATGTAAAAATCACCGCAAAACTTAAAGTGCTACAGAACCATTAGCTATCATCCTCATCATCATTATCATCATGCAGCAGTGAGAGTTGACCCTGAAGCCAGGGAGAACTAGGTTTAAATCCTGCCTCTGATAGATACAGCTTCATAATGTTGGATGAGTCACAAATCTCTCAATGCTCTAGACAACATCCTAAGAATTTAAATTGCAGAGGAGGTACTAAACATGCCTTAATAAGAGTTTCCTCAGGTGGGTGATCCCTATACCAATGAAATCACAGATACAGACCCTTGCATCATCATTATTATTACTACTAGTACTAGTGTAAATATGTAAAGATACTCTTGTGTATTCACACCTACAACCTTTGATCACTAATCTCTTTTCTAGAATTATGATTATCGGAATCACTGAATCATAAACCTGAGACAACCACTAAAGAAATAGTTCAACACTCATCTGTGGTGCCAGAAGTTTGGAGAAGCACCACTGAATTTTCATTCATCCTTCCTAGTAGTAACAGGAAGGGGAAAAGATGATTGCTTTATCCCCTTACCTTTCCATTCAATACAAAGCACTTTGGTTATGGTTGAGGGATGCCACTAGGTACGCAGAGGTAAAGGTCACACATATTTAGGAAGTTTTCATCACTACATCTGGGTAGTGTCATAGCCACTGAGGTTAGCTAGGAATGCAACATAACTCATAACCATTACACACACACCACTTCTGGAGAACCACACTTGTGACAACCCCTGAAGGCTCCAAATTTAACCCCCATGGAAGTGGTGGGCCCTAGCAGCCAACAAGTAACAACCATACAGATAACAGAAATAAAATTCCTGCAATGACAGGTGAAAAGATTCAGAAAAACAACTCTCAGGTGCCCAGTGCTGAGATTTAACCACTACTTCCTAGAATAATTTATTCAAGTGAGTTGATAACTGCCCAACCAATCCCATCACCAGCTGTGCTCAAAGTCACTGGAATCTTCGTGTTCTCTATGTAACATCTGTACAACTACACTGGAATTTAGAAATAAGTGTTTTAGAATGAAACAAATAAATCATCCTGGATGATATTATATTATAGCTCCTTAAAAATGTGTCTGCTCAACAACCTAGAAACATTTAACTGGGTTTTAGTTACTTACACAGTTAAGAAGGGAAAAATTCACAGCTTTAGAATTCCATAATCCATAAGAAAAAGAATTATGCATGTTTATTAACACCAAAACCCATCCAAGTGTAAAACATTTTTATACCTGCCATTCTGGTTGCATTCTATTTACCTATTAATTAAATTAAGCAAAGTTTAATTATTGCATTAATGAATACTCAAGTTTTCTGGGTGTTCCACAGCTATGAGCTACAATGCCAAGGGAGAAAAAATAATACAATTACAGGTTCAAAACCACAAAAAAAAAATACAATTACTAGGTTCAAAACCACAAGCTCTACTACCTTATTTTTCAGGCTGTTTTTAAAAATTCCATTCATCCTGAAATTTGCCCAGAGGTAACATATGCCAACAGTGAATAAAATAGTTTGGATAGAAGGAAAAGCCCTTCTCAAGTGATTAGGGAACCAACTTTAAAGTAAAGAAGTCATTACAATGTTTCTGTGCTAGGAATAAAATTGGAACAAGATGAACAGGAATCTTTGGATCAAGCATTGCTTTTATAGCTCTAGAGGAAAAATGTTTCCTCATAAATGAAGAACAAGGAAGAAAGAGGAGGAAAAGAAGAATCATGCTGGTTCAGATAATGCTGTTCAGTTATGTCCGACTCCACATGACCCATTGATGTTCTTAGCAAAGATACTGGATTGATTGCCATTTCTTTCTCCAGTGTGACCCCATTTTATAGATGAGGAACCAAAGTAAATAGGGGTGGTTAAGTGACTTATCCAAGTTCACAAAGCTAGTAAGGATCTGAAGCTAGATTTTAATTCAGATCTTCCTGACTCCAGGCCTGGTACTTTATTCACTGAACCACCTCGCTGCCCTGAGCTAATAAGCCCTCCCTATCTTAGAGGGATAGGAAGTAAAAAAAGTTCTAGTTCTTGTTACCAATAATTACAATTTCTGAGAGGCATGGTGTAATGGAAAGAACATTGAACCTGAGGCCATACCATCTAAAGGGCATACATCTACTTACTAAAAGGGAGACAGCAAGCTATAGGATCAAAGGACATAAATTGAGAGGTTCAAGGAAACTTGGAAATCATTGATTCTAATCCTCTCATTTTATAGATTAGAAAACTGGGGTCTAGAGAGATGAAGTGAGTTATCTAAGGCCACACAGGTAGTAATTAGCAGAGGCAGGATTTGAACTCAGTTCCTCTGACTCCAAAGCCAACACACTGAGAAAATTGTGCCTATCCCTCAATCAAAGGACAAAGGGTCAGTATGAGAGTTAAATAAGAGATTTTGTTTTAGATTTTGTTTCTAAGGACACGTCTAGATAATAGGATTCTATAAATGAGATGTCATTTGTAATGTGCTCCATAACCCCAACGCACTATATACATGCATATGAGCTACTATCACTCTTTTTGTTCAGTCATTTTTCAGTCATATCAGACTCTTCAGGACCCCATTTGGGATTTTCTTGGCAAAGACACTGGATTGGTTTGCCATTCCTTCTCCAGCTCATTTTACAGAGGAGGAAAACTGAAGCAAACAGTATTAAGTGACTTGCCCAGGGTCACATAACTAGTAAATGTCTGAGGCCAGATTTTAACTCAGGAAGATAAGTCTTCCTGTCTCCAGGCCTGGCACTCTCTCCACTGCGCATCTATCACTCTAGAGACTCTGAAATGTCTTTGAGCCCAGAAATAAGTGAAAAGGAAGGAAGAGAGAGAAAACTTGATAGCCACTAAGTTAGATACCATAAAGAAGAAGAATAGCAGAATAGCCCTTTGCTCAGAGGAAACATAATCCAGTAAATTATCTAATAATAAAAATCTATGGCCTCAGAAGTCATAGGTGTACATAATATGAGTGACAAGGAAGATAACTAGAGATCCTTAAGTAAGATAATGAGTTTGATTTCCTAGTTATCTCCAAAACTTGTGAAATATTGGGAAATAGATTTCAATCTAGCAGAGCCAAATCATAATGATTAGTGACTTCAAATATTCAGACTTCAAATGCCAAAAGCAGAGAAGCTTTCTTAATGTGCCTTAATTTTAATTTTATCTTTCAAAAATCATAGGAAACAACAAAGAGAAATTTTACTCTAGATACGATTCTCATTTATAGGAAAAAAATTAGTTGCTGGGGTCGAAATGATGAAAAACTTGAGAAGTCACCATTCCCTCCTAAAATGTAATATAGAAATGAGCCTGACACGTATTCTCAGATATTGGAGCTCAGATTTCAGAGCCTTCAGAAAAAAAAAAAAAGAGATCCCATGGCTTAAAATTCTAAGAAGGAAGTCAGTCAAGGAGAAATAGAGATATTCTGAAAACTCAAAGAGAAACAATTCTGATGAAGAGGAAAAAAGGGCACTTGACTAAACAGACCAATAATATTGTAGAGATATATAAATGTAATAGAATATTATTGTGCTGTAAGCAATGATAGAGATGGTTTCAAAGAAACCTGAGGGGGCAGCGAGGTGGCGCAGTGGAGTCAGGAGGACCTGAGTTCAAATCTGGTCTCAGACACTTGACACTTGACACTTACTAGCTGTGTGATCCTGGGCAAGTCACTTAACCCCAATTGTCTCACACAAAAAAAGGCAGAGAAACCTGAGAAGACTTTATAAATTGGTGCAAAGTTAAGTAAACAGAACCAGAAGCACTATCTGTACAGTAACAATATTGCAAAGATAAATAATTTGTTCCCCCTCTTTCCTTTTCAGCCATGCCTGATTATAGACCTTTTCAGTTACTAACTTTTCTTAGAGCTCAAAACATTTCCGAGCCCATAGAGTAATAGTAGCTTATATGTATGTGTATGGTGTTTTGGGATTATAGAGCACATTATAAATGTTATATCAACTTGTGTGGATATCTCCATTTGCAGTAAATCCAGAGGTTTATGCTTGGCCCTGTACTATTTACTATCTTTATCAGTGACTAAGATAAAGATAGAAGATGCCATAATAATCAAG